ACTCTTTAAAATAACGCTAAAGGAACGTTACGCGAATACTTTTACGATAAAAAGTAATCAACATTGTACATTAACTAAAGTTTCTTTTTATTTTTCAGCTCGAATATACGAGGATTTTATAATACCGAAATTTCAAGAAAATATGGGATAAACGACAGAGCTGGAATCGAGAAAGGAAGAATCGATTTCATTCGAATGAAATTCAGCCACGATGAAAACAAATTTTAAAGACTTTTATAGCATTGAAGAAGTCGTGAATGACATGTTACAAATATATCATTCAATTTTATTAGCCCGCGACGATATTTGCGATATCTATATACTTACAAAGATCAAATTCACCGCAATCACGTCTAGCCAGACATGTTCAAATTATTTCGAACGAATAACTATCTTTCGTAAATATCGAAATATCACGAACAATCGCGAATATCAATTAATTTATATTCTTAGCTTCCCCTTCGTAGGATTCAACTCCGCGAAGCAAACGAAACTCCAAACAATGCAACGAAACCAAATCGAAATGTTTTCACTGCTGCAAACTTGTGTAGGTGCTATAGAATAAAGAAGAACACCGCTTAACAGAGCATTCAAATCACCGAACATCCAAATCGGATAACGCGCAACAGACGCTCGAACACGGATCACTTTTGCCAATGATCAACCATTTCGACGGTTGCTCCACCGCAGGACACGCACATATGCACATACACGTACGCACGCACAAAGTGTATTAGAGTATTTACAACAACAACCGTTACCAAAGCGTTTGTGCGAGCAAACGCAGCAATCGCCTGGCATGTGACGGAAAAACACAAGACGACTGGAGCAAAAACCAGCTCATACCGTTTCGTTCGAAGATAGAAATGAGCAAATAGCAGCACGAAACATTTAAATCGACCGCAGCAATACGGCAAGAAGCACGGCGACGGCAACCAGCTCGAAGGGACGGTTGCACCAAGACTGATCCATGGATCGTGGTATGGAGCAACGAAAGCGGATCGAACAAGGATCCAGAGGATCCCCACCACACCTGTGTCTCACTCCCTTCTGCCTTTCGATTCCCCGCTTATTTCCAACCGCTACGAACGGTTTCCTTTTTCTCCTGGCCCTTAAACCCTCTTTTTCTGTTCGGTCGGCAAACGATTTCTCTCTCTGGAGCACGCCTCTCAAGCGAGACGTTAGCCGCAATAAATGCAAACTGGGAACCGATCCGCTCGTACTTTCCGCTTCTGCCGCCGTGCTTTACATCGATGCTTACGGTCAGCTTCCAGTCGCGTTTGTGACTTTCTGAACTCGCGTTTATCAGCGCAATGGCAATCGTTGAATCCTGTTCAAACGATCAGGGAAAAAATATCAGTGGGGCAGCATGGTGTATGGAATTATCGATAAACGATTAAATTTACAAAGAAGATCTCGTGTCATAGTGAATTTGCCAACTGTTCCAATTATACTCTATTTCGAAAATTAGATTTTTAGACTGAAACATGTGAACGGAAATTCTTCGATGTTTCTTCATTTCTTCGCATAACACTATTGATCGTGTTCGATACCTTCCCGCATTATTCCCGTCTATTATTAGCGATTTATCTGACTGAATTATCCTTTATCCTCTTCAAATTACTGATGCTCTAGTGTGATTGAATGACTAAGCAATAAATGTTTAACCTTGATTGTATCGTTTCGAAGAAAGTTCGAACGATCGTAAACGCGTTAATGTTTTAATACGACACAATTAGATACTCGTATGCATATATGACTTATTTCTTGAAAAATTACTCGAAGAATTTTCTGCATAACGATTTTAAAAATTTGATATTGAATTTAACGTTTGTCAACGATCAGAATAATCATAAGTAATAGAGATACTTCGATAATAAATTGTGTATCAAATGAAATCAGCAAAAAATAGGAAAAGAAATGAACATAGAGCATAGCGAAACATCTATGCGAAATGTTATGGATAAAAGCTAAAGCTAAAATTTGAAATGTAACTGTAGGCAAAAATATGTAACACCAACTTCAAAATTCCAGTATTCGATCTAAGAAATTTATATAAAACTCAAATGTCCGAGATGCGATCTTTTTTCAATTAAGGTACCTCTTGGTATTATAGTCCTTCTTATCTTTACCATTATAAACGTATCCTCTTATATGCTTATACATTAATATTTGTAATTACATTAACATTCCTTACATTAACGTTAATATATTTTCTATAAATGAAAATCCGTTGTATATTATTTAAATAACTTCCTCGTCTCGTTACTTATGTATTTATTTGATACTTGTACTTTCCCTCTTTGTATTACAATTAATGTTATTAACTGTTGCTTTAATAGAAAATAAAAATGCCCAAGTAAAACACGAACAACAATTGCTAAAAATTATAAAAAGTATCGTTATAGTCGTGAATTCGCAGGATCAACAACCGCGAGACAGAAAAATACGCAAAAATTATGGAAAATCGAGTAATAGATATGAATATGAAAGACAAGCATTTATGGAAGGTGAAATTAGCCAAACATTTGATTAACGATTTGAAAAATTACGGTCCAGCAAATTTAATTTATATAAACGCGCTAAGTGTTATAATAGGAAAACCTATTCGAGTATGGCGATCGAAAGGTTGCCTGTATCAAACAATAAATAATCGAACAGACAAAAGTTCTGATGAAAATTCTATCGATATTGAATATCACGAACAAACATCAAATCTTATAGGACACTGGACGTTATTAAGCGACAAAGATCCTATTAATGTTGAACTCGATTTAAATTCGTGTTTATTCACAGCGATTGCTATTCAAATTGGAATAGGTACCAACCATCTAAGAGCAAACACCATTGATTTTCTAATGAATAATACCGAATATTTAATTGATCAAATTGATAAATTGATATTCTCAAATAATAATAGTAATAAAACATCGCTAATGATCGGTGGCGCTCGATATATTGGTACTTCACCTAGAGCAGCGGGTATCATTCTTGATAACTCGCAAAATGTTTTATGTCACGCATGTAGCGAGTATGGGCATCCAAGAGGACATGCATTCTGTAGAGATGCTACGAATCCGATGGACAACGTCCAGAATTATTCGCGAATAACGAAAAGTAGAAAATCGGGTTTTTTATCCAGAGTCGATCAAAATAATATTGCCCATCTCGCTTTAAGTCACGAGAAAGCACAACGAGCAATGGCAAAATTAAATAATGGCACGATATCTCAATCGATATTATTCTCACGACGAGATTTACGAAATAACGATCATGTATTGCCAAAAATGATAATATACTATAATGGTGAAATATGTTCTGGGCAACTAGATATCATTCGAGTAACGTTAGTATTGCGACACCATCTTGGTGAATATAACAATCCAGAGGCAGACGTTTTCGTACATACATTTTATCCAAGAAGTTCTTAAATTTTACATATTTGTGATCATAAATTATCGTTATCATAAGAGACAAAATTTAAATGTACGAAATAAATATACCGTATAATTGCAAAAGTTCCTTCTTTCATATTTATTAACCGTTTAAACATTTACGAAACATAAGCTTACAAAGGAAATATAGTACAATATTTATTAAAGTATCAAAATAACACGTCAATTTGCTTCGTGACTACACCATGTCCATACTAATGTCCTTAAACTATTTCTAGCTATTTGAATTTCATCATCATTTTCTGAACAATCCGCCTTAATCACATATTTACAACCAAAACGTAACATGTCATCACATTCCTCTAAATTGTCTAATATCTTTTTAGAAAATTCAAGAATTTCTAATATGCATTCTTTAGTAATAACTATTTTCATAGATTTCGAGAGAATTAATTTTTGCAAAATGTTGATGTATAAAGTAATGATCTTAATTCTAATATCTTTTACTAAGTGAGACTTTAGGCATAATACAACATTTAAAATCATTAATTTATAAGGAATAATATCTCCTTTTATATGTAGAACACTATTTAACAGTTTGTCCATTATTTTCACTATAACTTCAGTATGCTGTACTTCATGTTGCTGCAAATTGTTTGTAATCTCTAATAACCACGGAAATAGTCCATAGTTCTCGATAAAAAGTATAGAGGCTTTCCTAATCTTTAATGTAGCATTAAGGATTTCTAATATAAGTTTCTGAAATAAAAATTGATTAGATAAATTTTAAAAAATTAATTATTTTTTCAATGTTTAAATCTTACTTTCGTATGTGAATCTGAAAGAGTAGAAATATAAAAATCTAAAAGCATTTTAAACAAAACGCATTTAAACGCTATGTCCACTTCAGTCTCTGTTTTCATACTATCGCGAATATTTTCCAAGATCCAATGTCTGTATGTTATATACTGCATATCAGAACTGTAAAGGAATTGTAATAATTCAGGTATTGTATTTATATCTAATGCTGGTTTAGCCATCAAAAACATTTGTAGAGCTGTATAAAGAGGATTCAATGGCTGTGTAGCTATTAAAGACGTTCTTGCCAAAAATGTAGAAACCATACAGTTTAGGCGTACGTCATTAAGTTCTGACTGCTGTGATACAATACCATAACGCAATGCATCTATCAATCGCATCCACAATAACTTTGTTTTTGAGCTACATATGAAACAGAGAAGAAAAGTATATTAATATATATACATACATGCGTGTGTGTGCACATATACAGCGTGTCCGTTGCTATGGTAATAGTACCAAAGGTATGGATTCTATGTACTAAAATAAAAAAGGAAATTTATATAAATATATGTCCGATATGACTTTGTATTCAAGTATCTGCTTATTTTGTCTTGTAATAATCATTTCCGCATATAAGATGAATAGAACATAAATATTAGTTCAGTATCATCATAAAGTCAGACAGATTTATAAATAGTACTCAGTATTGTAATATATACAGTAATGGGTAAATTTATCAAACTGCTACGACCTCACTGATTTTGGTGATTTTTACATATTCTGTAAATGGCATTATTTCAAACAACCTCCTTTGTAAAAATTGACAGTCAGCCTTAGTTTCTAAAATATTGGCAAGAAATGATTGTTATTAATATATTTGTAGTTTTATTCATACATGTGCATTTATGCGGCGAACTGCATAGCTTACGCTGTATTTGTATATTAAATTGCATGAATCATTGATATCTGTCTATAGGCAGATTATAGCAGCTACTTCTTGAAGCAACAAAATATGACCGACTGCAAATCTTTTCAAAGGAAAAAGTTGTTCGGACTAACGCTTTTTAGAACATATTTCAAGGATAACAAAATCAGTAAAGTTGTAATAGTTCAATAATTTTACCCAGTAATATTCGGTTAAATTGCAAAAACTTGAGAGTAAGGGCAGCATATTGATAGTTTTTCGATTAAAATAAATCCATACAAGATATAAATTAGATTAATTTTCATTATAATAATTAACTTGATGTAGACAGCAAAATAATATGTAATAACATAACAATATAATTCGATTTATGCAATGTTTGGACTCGTTTTAATAGGAAGAATCCCAACAATACAGTGACATTATTTTCAAAAAATTAAGATAAAGATTCCTAAACAGAAAATTTTCTGCACTGCATATTTACTTTTTTAAATAGCAGTACATCTTTCTGCTGTATCCATCTCCTCTCCTTCCGTTTTACTGAATCTCTCTCCTAGCCAACCATACAAGGTTTCACTGAACTCAAGACACTGAGTGGTGGGAGAAGAGTGGGGATGATCCATTGTAATTTAACCGAACATATTGTGCTGTAATTTAACCAAGCATTACTGTACTACAAAAGATATCTTTACGAATTACAAATGCAAATTAGGTGCATATCAGCTATGTCAACATTTGAATAACTCATTTTGTATTTCCTACAAAAATTGATATTATCTACATTAATATAGTAATTACCGAATATTATTTACAAAGTCATCTGACCTCATAATGACATTAAGTCAATATTTATATTGTACGTATTTTATACGCAGGCAGAATTATTGCAATACAAAATAAGCTGAAACTTGGAAACAAAATCATATCGGGCATATATTTATGTGAACTTCGTTTCTCATTTTAGTGCATAGAATTAATATCTGCGGTACTTCCCACTATACCAACAGACACTCTAATACGTATATATCAATTATATATTTAATAAAACATCAAATTATTATTATAATCATTACTATTATTACTTTCACTTTTTTTAAATCTTTTTTTCTGTAAAATACCTAGAAGCTTCCAAATGAGTATAGTATCTCGTAATGATCGTATAAGCTATCATCCGAACTTCACAATGCGTGCTGCTACATGCAACAAGTGTTAATGCTAATGCACCACTTTGGGCAACTTTATGACATGGTACAACATTATTTTCCGATAATAAGAAATATAATAATGGTAAATAAAATGCCGGATCGTAAACATCACTTGCTCTAAATAATTCATCACTCTATAAAAAATAAACAAATTAATATTGTTTTATATTGTTACATAGAATAAAAATAGAAATAAATTCTTTAAACATATTACATAAATTTTCAAATATTTTCAATAGTCAAATGTAATCACCTTCAAAGCTCTATCAATAGGGTATTTCTTTATAGTATTGTTTACTATATTCTCTTCAAATAAATTTAGAACTTGAATAATAGATGGTTGTCTCCATAAAGTTGTGTGCGTTTCACCTTTTACATTGTAATATACTGCCGCCACATTTCCCCACACATACGGCCGATACTCACAAATGTTAATATTATTACTTTCGTAATATTGCAAAATCTGAAATTAATCTATATATTAATTCTATAAACTGATATAAAATTTGTTGATATGACTTGTATTCTTACAAATAAAATGTATTGATCAACTTCAGCTAAAGTAGCATTGTATGCTGCTAAATAAACGGGTATATGCTTTAATGTCACAACTACTTTATTTTTTTGCATGAGAATCCATAACAATTCCACTAAATCTCCTAAAAAATAAAATAAATAAATTATTCCATAACATAATTACATAATCACTATTACATACATACTTTTAGTATTTGATGAACCTAGCATAATGTTAATAAATTCAGAATGAGAAGTTGCCATTTCAAATAAAGTTTTGACATATGCATTGTTACTGTTATTTTTATATGCAATATCACATAAAGTACTTAAAATTTTTAATATGGGTACTTCTTCATTGCATTTTAATCTATCGAGACCAAACTTTAAAGAAATTCGAGTTAACTGTGACCATGAATGAATAGTACTTAATTTCTCAAATTCGGAAACGTTTTTTCTGTCTTTTAAATATTTAATTTTATTATTCAATGCTTCACAAAGAATACAAAGCTTCTGAAAATTTTTAGGTTCCTTTTTTAAAGTGACAGTGATTATGTGAAGTAGTACTTGAATCAAATTCATAATATATTTTTCACTCTCTGTTTCCAAGGCAGCAGCTTTGTTGTATATACTTTGAACAAGTTTAATATAGTTAATAGATACCACATCTAGTTTATGGCAAGTTTGTAAAATAATATTACATATACCATCACATGTTTTAAAATTAAATGTTGTTTTAATTAAATAAGAAATTGCAATAATATTTTCTTCTATCCAAGGTTCAGCATTTTTTGGATTACATAAGTAAGATGAAATTTCGGCTTCATAGCATTTTCTCAAATGTTCTAAAAACTTTTGATTCCATTTAAAATTCAAGTTACTTGAAACTATTTGTAATATATTATTGCCATTTTTCATCATATTCTTTGGTTTTACTATACATTTCATAAAAATGGGAATAAATTTTACATTTCTTCTAATTAGAAATGAAATTAAATTTATTGTTGCATCTGTAATTTTCGTGGATAATAATGATGTGAAAATACCTACAAATATATAAATTATAAGAGTGTGATAAAACATAAGCTACGAAAATAATATATCTACATAAAACTTTAATAAAAATAACTTACTTTCATCAATGCCACCAATATTGAATGAAAAGTTTAAAAGAAACTCATGTAATGTTGCTTCCCACAATTCAAAGTTTCTAATTAAATTTGATTTCAAGAAAATCAGGTGCAAACAAAAATCTCTAACAAATTTTTCATCTAATTCAAAAAATACACTCCTTTCAGATTTCATTTCATTACTATTAGTGATTTTTAAAAATGTTGGAACTAAATGCCCATATATTGATAAACTTTTTTCATTGCTTGAAATAAACATGTTATCTTCTAATTTCATTAATCTCTTTAATAAGTATGTAACATCTTTTGATGATGGTTTTAATATCTCTAACAATGTAATAATCGTGTCAAAATTTATTGTCACATTTTTTTGGTTTTTATCCATCATTTTATATAGCTTCATAAATAACTTATTTTTAAAATGAACAAATAATTTTCTAATATTAAATCCTTTACACAAATCAATTATTGTATTACAAACATCAATAATTATGTCAGTTATCATACTCCTTGAGACACTTTTACTTTTCTGATGAAATGGAGAAAAATAATGCAAAACAATAGGATGTGTAGAAATCGACTTTACACATTCTTCCAAAAGAGTAGAGCTATCTAGATTATTTTTTGAAATATATAATAATGATATTAAAAAAGTTTTGTAATTATCATACTGTATCTTCGTTAAAACATGTTTTTTAGTAAATTGAAGTAAGTAGAATGTAGTCATTTTAAACAAATATATAATTTCATATGTTGATAAAGAATGATGGATAATCATATTCTCATTGTTATAATGAAAAGTAACTACATTATTACCATCAAATATTTCATCCAATTGTATTTTAGCATTAGTTAAAAATACTGAATTTATTTTACATAATAAAGTCATTGTGGGAACTATTTTTTTAATAGAAACAAGTTGGTTACCATCTAACCAACTCAGGAAATATTCTTTTACTGGTAATTTTTCTATATCTTTAGTTAAATATATCAAACATTGGGGCATTACTTGATAATGTAATGTATGTATTAAAATGTAAGACAAATAAGATAAAATTGAAGAATCTAAATCTTCCTTCATTTTATGTAACATGCAACATAAAAGAGGTGATATTGATGTGAATCGTTGCATAGGTAAAATATTACTTTCTAAATTTTCGTAAATGGCAGGCTTATTAATCAATTCTGCAAAATACAAAAGAAGAAATAATTTTATATAGTATATTAATGCATTTAACAAATAAATCAAATTTTACCACTGAATATGTTTTGTAATTTGCCAGTATGAACCAATTCATGATCAATACTTTCTTCAGTTTTAATTATTTCATTTACATATCTTTCAATATTTTGTACAGTTTCCTTTATTATACGAATGAACCATTTTGTTACTCTTTTCCTATTATTTAGGTTTATAAAACCATTGATCCAAATATCCAAATGATCACTACATCCTTCAAATAATCCAGTAACATTCAATAATGTTCTGATTGTTGTTCTTGTACATAATGCAATTGACGATGTTTCTTCGTTTAAAATAGATATTAAAAATGATAATGCATTATTAAACATTTTCTGAAAAAAAAAAAAAAAAATGTGTATTCATAAATATGAGAAAATTTGTAAATATTAATCTACTACTAATTATAATATTTTATATACCTTATGTGATGAAAATTCATAAGGGTACAGTATAACTAGGAACTGTATAGCTTTTACTTTTATAACATTAAGTTCAATGGTACTGATATCTTCTAATTTATTCAATGTATCTAAAAATGTTTCAGTTTCCATGTCAGATGATATGTCTAACAATTTTGGACATACATCATTATAAATATGCAATAAATTTAAAATAGCTATCAAATGTTCATATTTCTTCGGTTCTACAATATTTTCTTTGTAGATACTACTACCATCAATTGAATTGGATATAAAAGCACAATTCCACACATTCAATATCATGTTTAAATTGGGTACATTCTGAAAAACGTATTAATTTAACATAATAAAATTATTCTTATTCTTATTCTAATTAAGTTTCACTAATTTATTTATTTTTCTTTTTTTTATGTACCTTTACTATAAATTCTGTTACAAAATTCCTAAAAATATTGAAATCATTATTTTCATTATAAACTGTTTTCAAATCTGTGATATACTTTTGTATTTGATTAAGTATAGATATAAGGGTGAGTATTGCTTCATGCCTTATTGATACATTAGAATGAGTTAAAGATGGCACAACTGCTTGTTTCAAAATTACTTCTGGTATCATTAAAGATACTATGGCACTAGTTAATTGCAATATATTTAATTCTGTTGAACATAATTTTATGCACATTTTTATATCCACTGACTGTATTATCTGTAATTAAATTTGATATATTAAAAAAAAAACGCAGCATTAAAATAAGGGATGAAATATGTAAATTATTTACCTCTCTTATAAATTTAATTACTGCAATCCATTTCAGTGAAACTTCGGGTGCAATGTATGATTCCAAAAGAGTAAATTGAGGTTTAATTAAGTCTGGACATGCTGTTATTATTTTTATTACTAAATTTGATGGCTTTTCATATTCCCAAGGTCGATCTAAACTTTGAAGTATTGTGTTTATCATATAATTATGTTTAACATGTGAAGTGCCAAGCGTACGATCGTGAAAAATAATACCATATCGATGTGATGTTAGCAATAAAAGTAAAAAATCGTGTACAACATTGCAAACCACCTATACATTTTATGAAAATTAATACAAAAAATATGAGGATCTCAGGAATTAATTTAATCATTAATATATTATTGTACTAATATACAATTATATTTATAATTATTGATTAATAAATACCTCTTTTTCAAGAAGAAAATGTGAATCTGTTACAGAACTTTGAGTTTTAAGTTTTGGCCAATTATTTGGACCTTTCCAATTATAGAGACACAAAAGATTTTGAATAACTGATGTTGAAAATATTTGTAATTTCATAGTCTTGCTAACATTTGCATTCTGAAGAATGTAAGTCTTGAGAGTAGTTAAAATTAAAACAACAATATCTTTAGAATCATATATTAAATCAGGGAATATACTGGAAAGCAAATCACGCTTATCTAAAAGAGTTCTAATGATTGGTATGTTTCCTTCTATTAAAAAAGCCATGATAAAATGAATAAAACAATTTCTTGTATTCTGATCATCTGTAGGTTTTGTATGTTGCACGAGTGATTTAACAACCTCCAATGATAAAGACAAGTGAATAAGTAATTCACGTGGGAGATTGCCACCTAATGAAACTATTGCAGCAAGTAATTGTAAAACTACTTTCTGTTGTTTTGCATTACTTTGTGTAGATAGCATTGCATGAATTACTGATAAATGTGAATTAATCAAATATCGACATGCCTCTTCTGTACTAGTATGATATTGCGGATATTGTGTTAATATCCTAAATAAAAAAACAAAAATTAACATAAAATCCATATGAAATAATTTACTTTTCAACAAAAATACATTTATATGTTATGGCAATATAACACTTACTTTATTAATAATATCCTTGTTGCAGAAAATACAGTTATAGCAATGCCAGTTCCTTTCTTATCAGCAGTATTTAATAATTTTAATATTTCAAAAATATTACCACCTGCATTTAAATATTCTGCTGCCAAATCTCCTTCTTTATTTTCATTACAGATTTTTACAAATTTTCTTAACATGTCTAAACCATTTGTAGAGTTCAAGCTTTCTCTTAAGAATTTTCCATTCAAATATTCTTTATCTTCTTTATTACCTTTATCCTTTTTATTAGTTTCTACATCTATAAAAATAGATATATGCATTATATATGACAAAAAGATGTATTTAATATCTTTAATTAATTTTCATTGTTTAGTTTATGAATTACCTTGAAATATTTCCTTATCAAATTCTTTGCTACATTTGTCCTGATTTATATTATCTACAAACGAATCTGTACTATTTTCCTTCTTCTGTTTTTTATGTATTCTAGTTTCATTAGGAGTTAACTTCCTTTTAAGTATATTTATGTTATTATGATTATCAATCATTTCCATATTATTATTAATATATTTAACATCTGTAATGTAAATGTAATGTACAAATGTACAATGTAAATATTTTCCTTAAACTGTGAACAAAATTGATTATACTAAATCATAAAATATATAACTTTTTCTTCAACTGAAAATAATTTAAGTAAATTAGAAAATTATAATTTTAATTTTGAAAAATGCATTTAGAAAGAGAAATATTACTTTTTACAGAAGTGTTACTTTGAAATTTATGTACTAATATCAAATTTAAAATAAATTAGAAAATATTGCTTACATATTATAATATAAAAATATGTAAAAAATAACATTGCTTACCCTTTTCTCTCATCCCGTATTTGATAGCTATTTTAAAGTTAGGTGATTTCATATTTTGTAAATCAGTATTAATCATTTTTAAATCACTTATAAACACCGATTTAAATACATATATATCTTCATCTAACAAATGATTAAAAGTCGCTTTTACTAAAAGGTTTATATAACCTAACCACTAAAAATAACCACATGTGTTTCTGCTTGGATACATACATTAATATTTCATACCCTCTATTTCCACTTAATTTTGCGTTTTAAATTAACGTTTTCTCACATGCTATTGTTTCTTTCTTCTATCTTAATCATTTTGGTAATAAATAAAAAAAGATAAATATCTCCAATCTTTATTTAATACTATAAGTCACATTATATTAAATTAAAATACAAGTTAAATGAATTTAATATAAGGAATATTTATAAAAATGTTCTTCAGACATTTACATTTCTATAGGAATTTATTTATTATAATTTACATATTTATTATAACAAATTATTCATTTGATATTAAATACAACCATACTATCCACCTAATATATCTTTAGTGAAACTATTGCTTTCACATGTATAAACATTTTCTTACATTGTACACGCATTAAATTGCAATTTCAAAAATATATATATTCTTATATTTACTTGAGTATAAATATAGACACACTTTAATATTAACTTTATTTATGTAATTATATACAATAATATTACAGCCTTACAGCATTAATCTCTAAAATTATAAAATTAAGTAAATTTATTTATATTTAAAATAGTATAGTAAATATCATGGAATGTCTATTATATTGTGTTAAAACTAGGTACTTGAAAACTTCTTTTAATAGATACATGTGGATATTGTTGATGCCATTCTTGCACTATAAGATCGTTAATACCTTCACAGAAACTAAGATCAATCATTTCTAATTTTGGACAAAATAATAAAATTCCATAACATATATCAGGAGTAAGAGAACGAGCTCCTAACAAGTCCAATTGTTGTAGTCGTTGACATAATAAAAGTGGTTCTAAGTCACGATCTGTTAATCCTCTAAGCGCTGCTAAAAATACCTTTTCCAGGTAACGACAGGAAAATAATAATGCTCGTAAGGAATCACCAGGAGCTCCAATCCCACCACTATAAAGGTAGATATATTAAAGTATGTAAAATGGAAATTTGTCAATCATGTAAATAATACAATTTCGTTTTCTCAGATCATACCACCATCCAAAATCCACTTCTCGTAGCTTGGTACAGTGGGACAAAGCTCTAACCCCATGTGGAGTTAAAGTCTGTGATTTCCAAAAATCTACACTTTCTAAATGTGGACAAGAATTTCCTGCTAAATTTAAATGTCGTATTTCTGTGTTCTTTTTTAAAATAGAACATACCGTAGAAGTTTCAATACTTGTTCTATAAAGTTCCAAACGCTCAAGAAACTTTAAATTTTCAAGCTTTGTAAATCCTTGATTTGTTACACCCATACAATTACATAAACACAATTCTGAAAATAATGTATTACATCTCTATTAATCAGTTTATAAATTTTAATAAAATACCTTGAAATGGTATTTTTATTTACCTTTTAAATTTTTACACACTTTTGAAATTTCAAGAATAATAGCATCATTTACAAATTGACAACAATTTAGTCTCAAATGTGTCAAAACAGTTCCACATGTATGGAGAAAATATATAAAATCTTGATATTTAATCATATCATAATTTCCACACCAAGAAAGATCTAGTTGTTGTAAATAATGACATCTAGATGCTAAACTATTTAATGCAGATGTATTTAAACAATGCCAGTAAGGTTTTAAATTAAGACTTGTATATAATAAAGCATCCCTTGCAATGTTGTTAAAGTGTCTATTTACTCTACATAAACAACACAATGATCTCAAATCTAAATTTTTCAAAATTTTTAATACAGTTTCATCCTGTAATGATATATTGACAGTAAGTATCACTATTAATCTTTAAATAAATTTATGTAATATAATAAATTAAAATTTTACTGGAAGTGTTGAAAAACTGCCACATGGTTGATTTTCAAAATCAGTTGAAGATACTAGAAATCTTTCTTGAAAAAGGTTATTTTGTTCAGTTAAAGTATTTGGTATTGAATGATGAATATCTTTAATAAGTTTTGGAAAATCTTCTTGCAAAAATTGTTGTAAACTATTGAATGCTTCTTCTATAGGAGGAACAAATTGGTAGTGTTTACCTATTTTCGACACTAATTTACCCTTGGATACATTATCTATTATTTTGCTGCAATAATTTATATACACATTATACTTATTAATTTATTAAAATATTAAGATATCAATAATTGATATTACCTTACCTCTTATAAAGTTTACAGTGTTTAGAAAGCATTTTTTTAAGACCTGTTAAATCCTGGTTTGCTTTTAAATAATCTGGTGTTAAATTATATTTGTCATCATCACTTTGTTTAAGGTAACCTAATTGTTGTGATAGATCATTCAAAGTTTGATTATGTAAGTTATTAGGTACAATTAACTTTGATGTACCAATAAGTAACACAGCGTCTAATTCTGTATAATAGTCTAATAAACTATGATTAAATTCCAGTCTTATCATTTTTGTTTTAAAATTACATAGTTGCAAATATGGAGAAAATATTCTTGGCTTATGTGGCACAACTTGAGGAAATCCATTCCATAATTGATACCATTTGCCCTCAGGATTTTGTGCCCAAATCCCAACTACACTTCCAGGATTGTAAGTTTCATATATCGAAACTCTAATTGGATATACCTCTTGAAAATATTCTAGATCTTGATAATATAAAAAATATTGTAATGTATTTCTATTTTTCATACATTATAAGTATTAATGGTATCAGTATAATATTCCAATAAGTTAAAAATATCTTTAAGAATAAAAACATAAAATGTTATCAAAAATTATCACACTATTACAATACAATATCAAATGCTAAAAAGTATTCAACATTAAAATTAAATACTACATACCTATATAATCCTGGCTTATGACATTCACATTGTTCTGTGGCATATAGTCTATTAATCTTGAAGGTGCTTTGTCCCACCATTGTCCGTACGTTCTCTAAAATTATAATTTGTTATATATAATATGAATATTAATATAGAAATACGAAATCTTTTCATATTAATTTTATATAATAAAAGTTACCAATTTACATTAATTAAGAACATAAATTATAATTTTGTTTTTTATACAATTTCAATTAAGAATTTAAAAAATATTTTATGACTAATAGTGTTTGCTAAATTTAGACATAAAATATTATTATTAGACTTAATACTATGTATTCATAATTACTACATAATCAAGATTCAAATATTACTTCAAAAGAAAGTGTTATTGTATCATCAAAAATAATTAATCACTAAAACTATTAAAATAATATTGACAATCTTAACAATTTTTAAAATTATTTGAAATAAATTGTTCTAATTTATGAGGCACTATTAACTATTTTTATTTTCTTTTTGTATGTATTATTTATAATTATTTTATCTAAAAGTTTTAACTTTCAATAAATTGACATACCATAACAAAAGCATGTGGAAAATCCCCATAGTCAGGAAATTTACTTGGATTTCCAGCAATATTATAAGCTGTATACGAAATACTAAGATTACTTCCGTACTGAGAACTAAAATTACAAACATCTTTAACAAACTGCTCAACAAAAACAACAATCTCCTCTTTTCCTTTAATTCCTTCTTCATTTATTGGTACTACGCTACATTTTATCTCGTCGAGAGATATCATGTCACGTACAATTTTATACATTATTAATTACAATTAAACAATTTTAGCTTTAAACTTCAACTAATATAGGTTAATCACTTTACGATTTATTTTTATATTTGGACATATGATATACGTAACGTATCTTGTAAACAATAAAAGTTATAATAAATGATTATACACAAAAACTAGTAATTACTTATATCTTTCACTCTTTTTTTTAGTATAAAAAATGTATGATACAAACCATACTTTAAATCACAATTTTTTAAATACCCTAACCATTCGCGCATCAGTATTTTCCATATTGAAAGAACACTAGAAATTGTTATGTATAGATAAATCATTTGCCTTAAATTAAGTTAAAATATTTTTTCATGAATGATGAAATAAAAAAAATTAAATAAAGATTAATTATCAATATTTTTTTCATATTGTGTTATATATACTTTTATAAAACAGTAACCATTATAATACAAAATATACATTTTAAATAATTCATATGTTAAAATACAATCAATTAATAAACTGCAAATATTAAAAAGCAAAATATATGTTAAAAAATATAAATAACTACTGTTAGGAGATTCTTATATAAGAATATGTGTTTTTATTGTATTAATCTTAAAATGCTATAGATAATATTAAATTATTTACTCATTAATTTCAATGGTTGTCTGTTATGTTTACTATGATTAATAAAAATGTAATTTCTTTTATTATATCCTTAGTATATATATCAAAGTTTTTATATACATATATAAATAATCACTTTTATAAAACATACAAGATTATAATTTTGATATATTGGAAACAAAATATTGTAAACATGTCAAATATTATATTATACATATATAATTAAATGCGTATTTTGTATTAACTAGATAAATTTGAAATTTTTAGCTACTATTTATACTATTTATACTATTAAAAAGTAAAATGTGGAATAAAATTGAACACTACAATGAAGATATATGTTAAAGTTTATTTTATTTTATACTTAGAATTAATATTAGCTTTCATTATTAAATTTTGTTCACTTTAAAATATGGAATTCTTTATTTTTAAGAGCAACTTGTCTCATTGAAGCATGTTCTCTTGATTTCTTCAATTTTCGTTGTGGTATATTTTTAAATGCCACATCCCAATTATTACTATGATTTATATCTAACAGAATGGAAGCAACTTGATTAATAGGAAGATTTTTAGAAGATCCTGTACCCCATTCTAATTTCTCATTTAAAGGTAATTTCATCATTCTAATACCTTCCTTATTAGCTTTTTGAAATGAATATGGTTTAACTGCATGCTGAAAGTATCATATTATTAAAAATAAATTAATGTAAAAATATACATATTTTATATAATATTATTTCTTAAATATATAATAATGGAAAATTAGTATATTATTATCATTGCCTATAGGAAAAAAGTAAACAATTTTTTAATTTATGTCTTATGTGCTTCCTTATATCTTTCACAAATTTAAGTCAATATTTTTAACAAAAACAGGATCTATATAATTTAAAATATATTTTTCTTATATATCTATCAAAAATTTTAATTACCTTATCTACCATTGCACCAATTATATATATTAAATTATTATCAAAGTGTTGCATAGTCTCTTGTGCATTAGGACTAAGATAAACTAATTTTTTTTTATCAAATAAGTCTAGATAAGATTTTGATGTTACATTTATTGGGAAGTCTGGTTCAAACAGATTTGGCAATGTTCTGTGTATTTTTTGCATTGTAAAACTCTGTTTGGTAACATTACAAAAATAAAGATTAAAAGGGAAAATATGTTGCCGATTTAATGAAAATGTAAGTAGTAATTGTTTTGCACAATTTTCTTGCTCATGTGGTGTCATATATTCATCATAACCAACATCCATCACTAATATTGGGTTAAATAATATAGCACTTATTAGTTTACTATTATAAAAGTGACTCATTGTAGGTTTACGTATGCGGTAAAATAATGAATATTTTCCTAATCCATAACAACTGTCATTATTTTCTACTAGATTTTGACGTTTAAGCTTTTTCAATTTCTTATTTTCCTCATGCATTTCTAGTTTCCAGAGAAAAGTTAAATATGCTCTAAATATTTGGAATAAAAAATAAAAATTAAATATATATAAACTGCTTATTAAAATAATTTTTATGTTCATATATTAATAAATATAACCTTCTTTCTCCTTTTGATTTTGTCTGTAATAAACGTAACCAATTATATGGTCGTATATTCTGGGGTACATTCTGTGAACTATATTTAATATACATGATTTCTAATTTGTATTTGTCATACAGAGCTTTATAATATGGATCTTGCAGAATTGTGTTTAATTTTTCTTCATATATTGCATCATATTTTTTAGCTACAATTACAGATGGGTTATGTTCACAATAACATTGTGTTGCTAATGTATATATTTCCTTCTGAAATTTAAACTGCAATGTTTTAAACTTGTATAATGGTTGAGTAAAACCATTAAAATAAAATTTAGTAAAAGTATTAATAAACTTTAATGATTATACATATTTTATATAATATTATTTCTTAAATATATATTAATGGAAAATTAGTATATTATTATCATTGCCTATAGGAAAAAAGTAAACAATTTTTTAATTTATGTCTTATGTGCTTCCTTATATCTTTCACAAATTTAAGTCAATATTTTTAACAAAAACAGGATCTATATAATTTAAAATATATTTTTCTTATATATCTATCAAAAATTTTAATTACCTTATCTACCATTGCACCAATTATATATATTAAATTATTATCAAAGTGTTGCATAGTCTCTTGTGCATTAGGACTAAGATAAACTAATTTTTTTTTATCAAATAAGTCTAGATAAGATTTTGATGTTACATTTATTGGGAAGTCTGGTTCAAACAGATTTGGCAATGTTCTGTGTATTTTTTGCATTGTAAAACTCTGTTTGGTAACATTACAAAAATAAAGATTAAAAGGGAAAATATGTTGCCGATTTAATGAAAATGTAAGTAGTAATTGTTTTGCACAATTTTCTTGCTCATGTGGTGTCATATATTCATCATAACCAACATCCATCACTAATATTGGGTTAAATAATATAGCACTTATTAGTTTACTATTATAAAAGTGACTCATTGTAGGTTTACGTATGCGGTAAAATAATGAATATTTTCCTAATCCATAACAACTGTCATTATTTTCTACTAGATTTTGACGTTTAAGCTTTTTCAATTTCTTATTTTCCTCATGCATTTCTAGTTTCCAGAGAAAAGTTAAATATGCTCTAAATATTTGGAATAAAAAATAAAAATTAAATATATATAAACTGCTTATTAAAATAATTTTTATGTTCATATATTAATAAATATAACCTTCTTTCTCCTTTTGATTTTGTCTGTAATAAACGTAACCAATTATATGGTCGTATATTCTGGGGTACATTCTGTGAACTATATTTAATATACATGATTTCTAATTTGTATTTGTCATACAGAGCTTTATAATATGGATCTTGCAGAATTGTGTTTAATTTTTCTTCATATATTGCATCATATTTTTTAGCTACAATTACAGATGGGTTATGTTCACAATAACATTGTGTTGCTAATGTATATATTTCCTTCTGAAATTTAAACTGCAATGTTTTAAACTTGTATAATGGTTGAGTAAAACCATTAAAATAAAATTTAGTAAAAGTATTAATAAACTTTAATGAATATTGATAAAACATTTTAAAAAACTGTGCAAGTCTCGTACAACTCCTGCACTGCGTACTATTCAATCATGCCGGATTATTACCAAATATAACACAAACAAAATATGAAATAAACTCTAGTTCTTGAATATTCAATCATTTGTGAATCATATTCCATCTCAAATAAGTATCTCAAACAAAAAAAAGGATAAGACGTAAAATTGTTTTTAATTTATTTATTTTTTTCAGTGATTTAAAATTTTATAGTTCATTTTGTATATTATAAAATATAAATCGAAATTCATTTTTGGAATACTAATTTTGAATTTGGTTATTTTGTTTCTGTTTCATCACAAAACTACATATATCATAGTTTTTTTTATATCAAATAAAGTTTTAATGAATTTACTTTATATTTAAAAAAAATCTACATTCTTCTTATCATGGTGATTTTTTGACTATATCAATAATGAAAATTAAAAATTTCCCCCAGATAAGGTGCACACCATATGTTGGAAAAGGTAAAACTATAAATTATATGTTATATATCATATATACTATATGCATAGTAATTATAAATAAACTCTTATTTTGTAGTTTGCTAAATAAAACATTTATATCTTTCTCATCATGAAATTACTACTTTTTTTACAATTTAATCTATATGTGAAACATTAATGGTACGTGACTGAACCTACTCTGTCGTACCCAATAATACGTGCTGGAAAAATATACACAATCTTTCATATTGTATATTTTTTTTCCTACTCAACTTTCCTGTAATATTTGCAATTTGTTAAATCTAACAGTTTCTAACGACATTAAATTGAATGTAAATATCTTTAATTCAGTACATTATAAGTATAATTGACACAGTATAATCTGTAAAATAAAATAAGCATAAACAAATTTTATATAATACACATGATACATATATCATATATTGATATGATATAGATAATATATTTTTATATTTTTTGTTATACTATTAACCTAAATCAAATTTGAAGAATGAATTGTTTATACTTCCTAAATTTGCCATTTTAAGAGAGTATAACAAAACCTCTAATTTTTCAACTAATCGGTATTTCAGTATCTCATTCCTTTGAACTTTATCTGTGATAATACAGTACATTTTTTTCATAGTATTAAATTGCCACAAATTTGTAAATTTTATAACTAATATATTAAAAGCAATATTTTTTATAAAAGAACAAGTTTAAAATGACAATTAAATTTGAATAGTATATGTAATGTTAAAAATGATTTATTACATACATCATTCTGTCAGTAATAATAAACATTTATACATTATAAATATTTACTTTTATTATATATACAATTTATAAAATATTAGATCGAAATCTTGATTGTATTCCTTTATCTTATATTTGTATATTATTTCAATATATCATATAATTGTATGATTACCCTGACAACAGTCGTATCAGTGGTAGTCAAATTTCTAAGTAAATGTAACTGTATCACAATTTATTGCATCTGAAAATAATTAATTTTAAAGTGCCTTTTAAATGTCGGTATGGTTTTGTTAGGTGAGCCGTTTCCAAATTTCGTAGCAGATACTCAAATGGGTTCAATTAATTTCCACGATTGGCTAAATAATTCGTAAGACATGTGCTTAAATAAACATAACCTTTAATATTGAATTATTTTGGATAATTGTTTTGCTAAAATTGATCATTAATTTTTGTATTGTTTTATATTCTTTTTATATATAATTAGTTCTTATTGGTGACTTATAGCTACATATATTAATTAGTATTTTTATAATTTTGAATTATTCAATATATAAAATCATATATAAAGATATACAGTGTTTAAATATATGTATGTTCGAATATAATATATAAATAAGTAATATTATATATAAATAACTAATTAATTTAAGATAATTTCTTTTAAAATGTAAAATTATTTTGTTTCATAGGTGGGGAATTTTATTTTCTCATCCAAATGATTTTACGCCAGTCTGTACAACAGAATTAGCTCGGGTATTAAAATTGATACCTGAATTTGAGAAATTAGGAGTAAAAGTTATTGCACTATCGTGTAATTCAGTCGATTCTCATCGTAAATGGATAGAAGTATGCTTTTCAATAAAGTTTTTGTATTCAGAATATATTTATAAATAAAACAATCCAATTTATAATACATCTTCGAAACAATCGTTTTCAGGATATAAAAGCTTATGCTGAAATGACCGATAAGGAATTTCCTTACCCAATAATTGAAGATGAAACGCGAAAACTTGCAACGTTGTTAGGAATGTTGGATCCTACAGAAGTTGATAATCATGGCATACCTATGACTGCTAGAGCAGTATTTATTATTGATCCTGCTAAAAAAATGCGATTATCAATCTTATATCCTGCAACCACTGGAAGAAATTTTGAGTAATTTCATCATTACATTTTTAGCTTTTAAAATCTTCTTTTTTTTATTAATAATATTTATTAACATAAGTTTTGAACACAGTGAAATTTTACGAGTAATCGAATCGCTACAGTTAACCGAGAAACATAAAGTAGCAACTCCAGTTGACTGGAAGGTTTATATTTATGATCTTATCAATTAATTAATCCATTGTTACATCTATGAAAAAATATTAATTTAATTATAATAATTTTTAGACAGGAGAACAGGTAATGATTCAGCCTACTGTTTCTGATGAAGAAGCCAAAATGTTGTATAACAACATTAGGATTGTATCATTACCATCAGGCAAACCTTATTTGCGTATTGTGCCACAACCGCTGTGAAAATAATACTTTCAAAGATGAAAAATCGTTATTTTGTTTCCTTTCTTTTTTAAATTATAATAATTTCTTAGTAATAATTTACGATAAAAATAAATGAAAATAATTCACTAAAATATATTTAAAAAATTTTATATATTTTTAGGTTTTCATTGGTCATATTATTATCCATGCACATTCTTGACTGATTCTATTAATACAATTCACAACTTATTTTTTATAAGGCTAGTCATTGTTAGAGGTTTACATAATTACCAAAACAAAAATTCTAATGTTGTAATTTGCAAACAACATAAATTTGCAAACATATAATTCACAAACAAAAAAGCTGTTTATTGTATCACCTAATGTAATTAAAAGTACACTGTGTTATATACATCTTTCCAAGTACACAATCACTTATGGTTTCTAGGCATAATGTATATAATATTTACACTGTTTCTTTTTATTAAGTTATTACTAAATTTACTTTACTACATTATGATTATATCTTATGTTTGAATAACAAAAACAAAATTATACTTTGTTATTGTAATGTTATATAATTAAAAGTTAATTACCACACAATATATCGAATGATAAAATACTATTGCCAGCCTTCATACTTAACAGCTTCAATGTTATACATTCACAATGATAGCAATATTTATTTATATCTGTCCCATTACTTCCATATAAATTGGAAGAAAAAATTAAATTTTATTAATGTTTCTCTTTCTTTTCTTCAAGTCCTTTGAATGCACTTGTGCTTTATTTAATTAAGAATTACCATGTCATTGATTCATTAATGTTTGTAAACGTTTATGAATCGATGATTTTCTGAAAATCGTTGTGCGAGTACTGCAAATGTTTGCAATAAAAATAATCGCAACAACGGAAGATTTGATCATTAATAACACCAATAATATTTAGAACTCACTTAAAAACAAAAAATTCACTTCACTCGCTCGTAGTATGAGTTTCTTGTTGATCTGATTGCAATTCACCTTCCATTCTTGCTTGTCGTTCAGCCGCTGCTCTTGCTTGCCTTCCAGCACTAGAACGGAGATTTTTTCGTTCTGGGGGAGGTTCTGCGCTTAATCGTTTTCCACTCCGTGCTTTTTTCCCTTTAGTACCTTTATTATCTTCTTCCATTTCTGATGGAAGTTTTGATGTATCGCTTTTGATGGTAGTACTTTGTTGTGTTGTGGTTACATCTTCCAAAACCGTTGTTATCGATGTTGTAGATATAGGTGTAGTTATGGATATAGGTGTAGGTGTAGGTGTAGGTGTAGGTGTAGGTGTAGGCGTAGGCGTAGGCGTAGGCGTAGGCGTAGGCGTAGGCGTAGGCGTAGGCGTAGGCGTCGGCGTCGGCGTAGATGTAGGTGTAGATGTAGGCGTAGATGTAGGAGTTGATGTATGTGTGGGCGTGGATGTAGGAGTGGCAGTAGATGCAACTGTAACTGTAACTGTATTTGTTGAGATACTTGTTGTTACTGTAACAATCATTTCATCAGTTTCTTTTTTATTAGTATTCAAAGATATTTCACTGAATGTATTATTTTCTTCTATGGAACTTTGTTTAACTGTTGTACATGACGATCGTGTTCCATGTTCTATTTCAACTGTTGTTACATCTGTTGGAGATATTGTAGTTGTCATGGCAGTTGTTACAGGTCGTGCACTAACTTCAATTTCAATTCTTGGTTTTTTACTAACAGGTTCAAGAGTCACTTCAAGCATACTTGGTGTCTGTTGTTCTGTACTTTGATTATGGTCAACATTACGATTTCTTTTTTCACCCAATCGCTGATCTTCTACATTTCTTGTTAAAAGTTCTGCACTAGTTCTACTTAAATGTTCTAGAGCTTCTTTCATCTCTTGTTCTTTGTTTTTCCTTTCAATCCGTCTTTCAGAAAGATCTGCCACATCATTCTGTTCCAAGGTTTCTCGTTTTTCTGGTTCTATTCTCCGTCTTTCTTCACTATGTAATGTCATATCTGTGTATTGCTGTAATGTTATTGCAGGGTCAATTGAATACCTGGATTTTTTCTCTGCGTCCTTTCGTTTCGTGGTTGACTCGGTAATTGTATCACGCTGCCTCGAATTGCTTGTTGAAGATGTAGGTTTACGCACTGTTGAGGCATTCGAAGTGGATGGATTTAAGAGGCCACATTGGGCAAGACTTTCATAGGCCGATGATACTCCGCCAGGTTGCATTGAAAATGGATTTAAACCACCCAAACCCAATGGTGTGTATAAAAGACTGGGGTTTGGGAAAAAGAAAGGAAATGGAGTCGTTGTTGATATAGTAGACGATGCTGATGAAGTTGAAGGCGCCGATGATTTACTTGTAGGAGGCTCCAATTTACTGCGAGATGATTTACTAGCACTACTAATGTTAGTTGAACCTGTGTTTTTGCTACTAACAGAACTAACAACGGGATTGGTTTCAGCTGTTGTGCTAGTTGCTGTTGCACCTAAAGCAGCTTCCATACCTGCTAAAGATGGTAAACCAAGACCAGCGAGATTTGCAAATAAAGAATTTGTTAAACTCATATTACTCAGATTACTGAGATTGCTCAATCCGCCCAACGCTCCTAAGTTGGGTAAACCACCAAATGGCATTAGAAGGGGATTGTTCTTTGGATCGAAATTGCCAAGAGAAAGGCCAGATAAAAGAGAGTTATTCAAATTACCCAATGAAGGGAAGTTTAAACCTGAAGCCATTGACGTAGCTGCTAAATTAGCTTGATTTGCAGATTGCTGACTAGTAGGACTTGGCATCATGGGAGGTCTTCCAGGGCTCTTACCCTTATTAACATAACTTCTATCATTCCCTGATAATCTCTTTTGTAAATCATGTGGAAGATTTCCGCGTTCTTTTACCAATTCAGCCCATTTTGGATCAACATCAAACATTGGATTCTCAATCAGCCATTGACCTAATCGTTTTAATTGTGGTGCCTTACTGCCTGTAACCTAAAATAGATATATAAATTAATACGTACACACGCACACACGCGCGATCACTAAGTATGATATGTTATTTATTACATAAGCAATAAAAAAAATAAAAGAATATAACAAATTCTTATTCAAACCTTTTTTCCGGTTAATCTATTAATTACAGCGACATTTTCTTCGCCAGTTAATTTCTTCCAATCTAATAAAGATGGATCAACACGTGGTCGTCGTCGTCTAGGCGTATTTAAGTATTCTGCACCTAATTGTTCAGACATAGCAGTTTGTTCAGCTAACCACTTATTCACTTTAGCCTCATGAGAATACGATCCAATTTTAGATGAGTACTCTGCAACTTTGTTAATATCTGCGATCATTGCTTCATAACTCTTTTTGTGACTGCTTGCTGCTGATGAATGCGTTGAATTAAAGCTTGGTTGTTGTTGCTGCTGTTGCTGCTGTTGAGATTGTTGTTGATGCTGTTGTTTTTTAAATTCACGATTTTGTTGCTCTGCTTGAACAAGTAAAGCAGAAAAACTATCTTTATGTGAATGTAAAGACGGAGGTGGTAATCCAGAAGTAGAATTTGATGCTCGTGAAGAAGGAATAGAAGTGACAGTAATTGAAAACGGTTTCTGAGTACTTGTTGGAGGATTTGGAAGCCCTATCGGCGCTGAAGTTGGAGTAACAGTTACGTTTGGTGTAATTGTACTTTTTTTATTATGTTCAGGATAGTGACTACTCTGCTGTTCTTTTGCTGCACTTAATCCTAGTACTATTTCATCAAGTTTTCTTCGTTTTTTCTCCTTTCCAATAATAGGTTCATCTGTTGGCTATATAATGAAATCTATGTTCAATTGTTATTCATATTTATAATATAGAATTAAATATATTCATATATTTATACATACACAATTCTTTCTCTTCATTAATTTGTCTAACATACTATCTAATTTTCCTTTATTACTACTAATTTGTTTGTTTTTATTTGGCATTGAAAAGTCTTGAACTTCATTCATCATATCTTTGCTATTATCCGTACTTGTTTTTGGATATCTACAATGCAAACATTATCTGAATAAGCAATTAAAAGCAAAGTAATTAAAATATATGTAAATAAAAATATATATATTATATAAGTCTTTAAGAAATAAATTTCTACCCAGCAGATAAATCTATCGGAGTTAAAGTACTTGACGTTCCAGGAATTACAGTTGGTTTTCCAGGAACTGTATATTTTAAATCAAAAGGCATATTTGGTGTTCGTGTTTGTTGGTGGGCGGGAGGTGGCTGAACCGGCGTTGAGCGTCTCGATTCTTCTGATTGTGATTCATCATTTATTTCCCACGTATTAGATCCAGACAATACAGTTGGCTTACTTAAAGTCGCGGGTGATTGAGTAACTGTATGGTTACTACTGTTCAATAATGCATGAAGTTTTGCTAAAAACATAGAAACAAAATTTATAAATTATTTTTTATTCGTAATTTCTTTGAAGATAATTTATAAGTTATAATAGATTAATATAGTGAAATTATTTATTAGCCTTATTTTTATAAATTTTACCTCTTTCAGTTTCTACATCAATAGCAATATGTCTCTTGCGCTTTTTAGATTGTGAAATATTATTTCCAGTTGTTGTATTGCGTGATATTCCATGATCTGTTGTTATTGTTATTACTTCAGAACATTCTTTTTCATTTGAAGGTACATCTGATTCATCACCAGCACTAAAATTTATAGATACAGGCCATTCTTTGTGTTCAATTGCATGTACAATATGCATTAAACGAGCTTCTATTGCATGTTCCTATAAAATAAAAGAAAGTATAAAAATATGTCATAACAATAAGATAAAATTATGCATAAACAAATATATTTTTTATATTTAGTATATTTTGTATACATTTGCTCACACATTTAACAAATGTAATTTCTTTTTTAGAAACATTCTCGGTTCTCATTCACGTTACCTATTCTTCTTTTGAACTTGTTTTAGTACATTACTCGAATGTACAAAAAGTTTGAAAATATTATATACATGTTTTACGATTTTTTCAGTCAACTTAGAGGTACATATAAATATAGAAATAATATAGAATTCTATTTACCTTTGGCCACTTGAT